TCGAGCCTCCTGTGCAACAAATAAAAGTTAATTTTTTTTTAAAGTGATTACTGATTCTAAAAACAGCCCCCAAATGGAAGTCCAAATATATGTAAAATGTGAATTTTGCATGATAGGTCTCCTTTAAGGTCATGCCAAAACTTCTCAATTGGATTTTAGTTCAAACCTTGACTGGGCCATTCTGAAACCGTTTTTATTTTTAGCTTTATAGAGGTGTAGTTGCAGGTGTGCTAAAGGTCTTGGTGAATCACTTAAGTGGTCTTGAGCATAAGGCTGAAGAACCGATGGCAGAATATTGTCCTTCAGGATTCTTTGCTAAAGAGCAGAATTCAAAATTACATCAGTTACGGGACGTTTTCCAGCTTGTGATGAAGCAGGCCAACACCAGACCATTAAAACTTCAATTTCTTCGGAATTGAGCACAATAATTGTTTAGGCTACTTCATGTTCTCAGACGGGTTCTATTAAGTTATTTCCTGAATCTGTGCCATGAACAGATTGTAGTTAACCAGGTTACATTTTCTATAAGCTGAAATGTGTTTGAAGAAAAATCAAAACCAGAATAAATCTGCAATGAGGGCAAATCATTTTTAAAGCGCTGTAGACGTTGTGATGTGGCGGGAGATGTTTTTGCAGCTGGATGGGAAAGCGAATTAACCCTGAGAGGAAAAAAATGGCTTCTCTAAGTTGAGAGCTTATAATCAGTCAGATATTGTTTGTCCGTTTGCGTCTCTGTTGGTCCAGTTTGTCTTTGTTTTTCTTTTGTTTTGTTTAGTCTTCACTGTCCTGCAGTCTGTAGTTTATTTGTTCGTCCTCCACTCTGCGGTATCTTCTCCATCCACCATCTCTTGTATTTGTCTTCCATCATGGGATGTTCGAGGTCATTGAATCCAAACTTGTCTGTGGTGACCTGACAAGTCAGATTTTTTTCTTCCCCCCCTTACATTAGCTGCTTTTGTTTTGGGCTTTGGTGTGTGTGACAGACGTGTTCCAGGCTTATTCTCACGCACATACACACACAAACACAAGCTTCAAGATAGCTAATAAAAAAACTAGCGAACAAAAAGAGACTCCAGAAATGTTAATCCATTTATCTATTACTTACCTTTTAGATAACTGTTCATAATTTCACTCTTAAGTCATGTAAATGATGATTATGTGCTGTTTCCCCCCTTTGTTTATAAAGAACAGATAAGTCAATTTGGACTTTGATTCTTTGATTGCTGCTTTGAACATTGTCATACAGTCTGCTTCAGTTGGGTTTCTTTTTACTATTGTTTAGAAGTGCATCTATTACAAATTTAGTGTAAAGTAAACTATATTTTTGTTGGTTTGAATCATGGAGTTCCACTGGGTTTTGTTCTTGGCCCCGTTTCACTTGTTATTCCTTTGCATCGCCTTTCAAGATAAAGAATAATCCTACATTTTAGTGCTGCTGTGCTGATGATGGTGAGTTTTATTTTGTAAGTTGTTGAGAATTAATAATTCTGTTTTCCACTAGATCGTTTAGCTATTTTCATGCTCGTATACATATATGCATTCATATAGATCACATGCGCGTTAAGCTAAAGCTAAAGGAAGTGACACACTAGGGAACACCCTCTTTAGGGTGTAGCTTAGATAGAGGCTAACAAAGAGGAAAAAGAAACTGTTGTTTGAAGTCCATTTTGTTTGGCTTGCCCTTAAAGTTAGCATGAACTGCTATGGACCAGCAGTTCATGGAAATATTAAAACCACATCTTATTAAATGGGATTCATGAATCCAACTCACTGACTCTTCTTCAACTTCATAGATCAAGAACTCAGCATGGAGAAAGGACAATTCTCCACAAAGTATACATATTTTAATATTTGGAAAGATTATTTTTAGTCTTGCTGAAGCTAAAACTGAAGTATTTGGCCATAATTAATTTTATTTTATTTTTTTAAGATTTGGAGGAAAACAGTGGAAACTTATAAGCGTGAGAACACCACAGCAATAAGAAACAGGGATGACGGCATCATGTTATGGTTTGTTTTGTTTTGGGTTTTTATTTTGCTTCTTGATGGTTCTGTGCAATCCACAAATTATGTGGTATGATAATTAGAGAAAATCATGTGGAAATATTAAAACCACATCTTAAATTATCAGCTGGGAACTTTACATTGGGCACACACTGGATGACGTCATCCAAACACAAAATTATCATAGTCATTCTTTAATTTAGTTGCAAAGGGAGCCATCGCACAGTGGACAGAGCTTAAAAGGTGTGTGTGTGTGTGTGTGTGGACCAGGTTTTTATATCCTTGTGGGAACCTGTTTCTGTCCTCAATGTTGGATTGTGGGGACCACTACTGCTTGTGGGGACATTTTCTTGGTCCCCATGAGGGGAAATGCTGTTTTTGGGTTAGGGGTTAAGTATGTTATGGTTGGGGTTTAGATTAGGGGTAGACTGTAAAAAATGAATGGAAGTCAATTTGAAGTCCCCACAAATCATGAAAATGACTGTGTGTGTGTGTGTGTGTGCATTATGGCCTCCAAAACTGACTCAGCCTGTCAGAAATTCAAAAATTGACAGAAAGTAATAAAGAAAACTCCTCTCTCATTATCTCATTATTCTGGCATTTAACAAAAAGAAATGATTTTTGTAATTCTGATCAAAATAACACAGGAATAAAAAAAAAAAAGTCTACTTCATGCTGTGCTAGGTATAACTTGTTGCTGATCTTGTTCTTTTGTCTCTTTAAACATCATGAGAGCATTGATCATGATCCCACATATCTAACGTCATAGAGGTGGTTTAATTCCAGCTCAATTAGAGGAGATCTAGGTCAGGTTGGGGCTCAGAGAAGCTTTTGACGCCCACTAACATGTCCTACGACTTGATCATCTCTCACTTGAGCAGGTTTCCTCACAGCCTTTTTCTTTCTTTCAGCTATGCTCTCCCCTGTCCTTTTTATAGACCTTTTATCCTGTCGTTTTAATCCTTTGCTTGCTCCCTCCCGCTCGCCTCCCTCTTCTTCTCTTTCTGCCTTTCTCCCTCCTAACTTCTTCCGTGTCCTTACCTCCTTATTGGCTATCATGAATTAGTCTTGATACTTTTTGAAATCTGTATTTCTCAATCCAACATCTTGTCGTTTCGCCTGTCCTCCACATGTTCTTCAAAGTAAAATCTGTCTCCGTCTCTCTAGCCCTTGAGTAATGGACCTCATTTCAACATTAATTGGTTCAACTGATTTAGAAATAAATGTTTTATGTTTACATGAAGCAAAACTTATTTGGTTGAATGTATCCCACATAAGTGATTAAAAATTAAAGTCTACAAGAAACGGCCAAATGGAGCTAAAAATAATAAAAAAGAGAGATGCCCTTGTTTGTTTCAATAACAGTAACCTAATGTCATCCATTTTCACTTTTGTTATCGTGGTAATATAAATACAACAAAGATTTTCTAAATTAGAGAGCTGACATTAAGGATACTTTAAACACTTTAAATGGACCATAGTTCATTTCTTAGTTGCTCCAAACCTTCTGTGCAGGTGTGATTACACTCACGCTAACCAGGGTATGGACCAAACAACCGGACCAAGACCCGCTTTTTGAGATGGTTGTGGTCCACTTCCTAACGAACTCAAGTGTGAACACGGACCTTCCTCTATCTGAACCAACTTACAGGAAACGTGGGTCTTTTTGGACTTCACCAGCTGAACTTTATGGCAAAAATGAACCCTTCAGTGTTGCTAACGCTGCTACTGCAAGTACTGATTGTACTGAAATAGTACCAGAACCTCTGTTTTCTGCTTAGCGAAAACTACAAGCAGTAGTAGCTTCAGGACACACAGAGCACCTCGTCCTCCTCCCTTATTTCTGTCCACTGATCATCACTTTGTTTCCAGTTTATAGTCTGCTTTCAAAACAGCACAACGTGAAAGCAAACCGCATCAGAAGATTAAAAACAAAAGAAAAGGCCTGTTTTTGGGCCAGACCAAACAAACAGACCAAAATACTTTTTTGTTGTGAATGGAACCCATATTATTTTATCTGAACAAATTTAAATTGGAGAAAGTATTTAAAAAAAATATTTGAGAGATGTTTAACGTAACCTGTCCAGGGTGAACCCCGCCTCTCGCTGGGAACGTTAGCTGGAGATAGGCACCAGCAGCCCTCCTGACCCCAATAAGGGACAAGGGTGTAAAGAAAATGGATGGATGGATGGATGGATGTTTAACATTTGGATACTGATCATACCTAATGACTTCTAACCATTGAGAACAATGTGTGTGATCTGTGACTATTTTATATTTTCTCTCTCTCTCTATCTATCTATCTATCTATCTATCTATCTATCTATCTATCTATCTATCTATCTATCTATCTATCTATCTATCTATCTATCTATATATATATATATATATATATATATATATAAACTATATTTGTAAAAACCAAACAAAAGAGGGTTCTTGCTTTGCCATGCTAACCTGGTGTTGTGTACCATCTTGTCTTGGGAAGCATTTTACCGTTCTTATTCTTCTCTTCATTGGTAGCTAATGCTTTTTTATTTATTTCCTCTTCAGTTATCCCTTTAATATTTTCTCACCATACTCCTGTTTCTGTCCTCTTAACCCTCCTCATGTGACCAGCTTTCCTTGATCCCCATCTCTTTTTTTCCCTTTTCAGTAGCCGTGTTTACCCTTTTTGATTCTCTTTTCCATTTCTCAGATTCATGGGTTTCTTTAAATCCCCTCCTCATAAAGTGGCAGTAACATCCCTTTATTGCCTCTTTAAATCCCTCCTCTCTTTATTACTTTCATGGTTTCTGCTAATAATTTCGACCGGTAATCTTTCCTACTGTCTTCCTTCACTGCGTTTCCATCTATCCAGCTTCTTCTGCCCTTTTCCCCCGTCCCTCCTCCCTCCCTGCTCTCTTGTGTTTATGTTGTAAGAAGTCGAGTCGGCGGCACCGCTTCTCCTCCTCCTCCTCCTCTCTTAATCTAACACACTGCTCAGCCCTCCCCATTCAGTCTCGTTCAGCTCAGATGAAGCTGAGATGAATTTGTTTTGCTGAACAAAGTCTGGATAACCAAGGCTCTGCAAACTAAAGGCAACAAAAGTTTGGGGATTTTAACTGAGAAAAGGTGAAGCCCTCCTACAGGTACTGTGTGTGTGTGTGTGTGTGTGTGTGTGTGTGGATACTGTGTGATTTTCATGTTGGCAGTCTTTGGATATCTATCTTTGGTTGTTTTATTTTCCTCTTAGGCCTCATAAAATCACTAATAATTACAGATAATTACATAAATTGGTTAGAAAGTTTTTCCAGATTAACTCAGATTTTATATTTTACTCAATATTTCCTCCAAATAGGCCTGAACATAGCAGAATTTGTTGTTATTCTGTGTTTACTAATAGTTTAGTTATGTGAAACACACATTTCCTGTCTTTGCTCCCCAATTTGTAGCAAATTCTGCTACAACAAAATTAGCTAAATAGCAGAATTTGAACTATATCTGAAAATATAATCCAAATTATAAACTTCACCCAACCCAAGTTTTTGCCTGTGATCACCAATTGAGGTTTTCTCTTAAAACTTTGATTACTGAAATAAAATGAACCTCAGTGCGTTAAAGTAGAACCTTTCCAACCTTGGTCCTACAGGACCTTCCTGCCTGAAAAAAGACAAATAGGTAAATCTTTGAGGGGTTATCATCAGACGAGTTTCAGGAAAAGCTCAGACGGTTTGAACTCTGTACGATATCAGTTGCCAAGCAACAAATATGTTGCCTTTTTTCTAATCTGGAAGAACAAGCAACATATTTGACTTCTTCACAAAGTGGGGATGGGAGGGCCGCTAATGAATTTAAAGCATCTTATCTTGTCAGATAAGATGAAAATTATTCAGGTTGGGTTCAGGATCACATCAGAGTATGAAATGTCACAGTTAAAGCACAGCGGTGGAGGTGTGATGAGATGGAGCAGTGGGGAGCGTTTGGGTTCTTGGAGTTGGTAATAAAGCAAAATTTTGGAATGTTGATCGTAGATATTTATGTATTTGGCTTGTGATGGACTGCCGACCTGACATGGGTGTGTCCTGCATCCTGCTCAGTTACCATTGGGAAGAGGCACCATGTGTGCACAAATTCACAGATTCTGTTTCATACTACACTATCATGACATAGTGTCAGTTTTCACAAATGTATGAAAAATATTTTTATAACAGTTACATGCAGCAGCCTTTGATGTTACCAGGAAGTAACACCAATATCTGTTTCAGTGTCAAAGCTTTATCGACATGTTTGGTGTTTTCTACAAAGTGATGCTGTTAATGCGCCTCTTGTTGTGCAAATCTGGCCTCATGTTTCACTCCTTGACAGATGTGGGGCAGTTTTAATTTTAGTGTGTCAGCAATCGTTAAAAAAAAAAAAAAAAACCCTGCAAACTGAAGTTGGATTGTGTGTGAATGCTCCTGCTTCGGTGCTGCTCCACAGCTCTACTACTAGATTTGTTTTCAGTCACATTCTTTGAAAAATCTTTACATTTATGGATAAAAACAAAGTCTAGATCTACGATGGTGGCTGAAATTAAAATGAATGACATCATATTCACCTTTAAGAAGTCAAAATTGAATCTATTTGTTTGTGAAGTAAACATGAAATTCTAGTCAGACCTGACTCAACAGCTGCTGTGTCAGTGAGTGACCTGTTAAGGCACAAGCCTTTGGCTCTGCCAAGGACCTATTAGTAAATCCTACCTGTGTGTGTGTGTGAGTGTATGTAAGCCACTCCCAGAGCACATTTACATACTAATGCGTGTAAAGCTGTGTTTTGAGACCATCTTAATGAAAACCAGCCGTCGTGTCCTATTAATTCTCGGGAACACGATGCGAAGCCGAATAATGAGACGTCGTTAGATCTGAGGAAACTCTGTTCTTACATGTTCGTTATGTAAATCCCCAAACAGGACAGAACACACTGAAGGAGTTTCCTTGACAGAAAATGAAAAGCTTTTGTAAAAAAAAAACATCAGCAGAAAGCTTGAAATGAATAAGTTAAGATCTGCTTGATGTCACAGTGAGTTTTGTTCCTCTGTTGGCGTGGGTGACTTCTTGAAATGATTATTGAATGACGAGCCTCTGATCACATCAACACACCCCTGACGAAAGAGATGCAGAAAACCTCAGGAGTCGTTCAGATAAGACCTGAGTTTTTGGTTTCCATTTATTATTCCTTTGAATTAATGAGAGTGACAAACAACATTTATTTTCCCTTTGGAATCAGTAAAGTATTTTTGACGAACATCACAAAATGAAGACGGAGAGAACCGTGCAGGAACACCGAGGCCTGGAGGGGAGACGTGTTTGATCCCACATGTGGTGAGAAACACCTGCCAGCTGTTAGTGTTTCTGTATGTCCGTCACCTCATCATGAGGCATACATACACATTATTTAATTTTTTATTTTATTTTTTTTTGCTGCTTTTATAAATAGCCGTATTTCATTGTAAACCTAGATAATTAGTGTGTTGCAGCAGGTGTTTCTCTGCAGTGATTAGTCATTCTGTCAGAGCAAATGTTTTGCAGATTTAAGCAATTCTTTCAACATACTTTTGATGCAAATTAGCAAAACAAAAACAAAAAACAGCTTTCTTGATTAGGACAAAGATGTAAGAAAAAAAAAGAAAGAAAGAAATCTCTCTGTCTCATATTTGATGTTCTTGTCCTGCTCCAGACTGTTTTTGGTTCACATATGGAAAAATATCTTGCAGGCTTGGCACAAAATACCCCATTGCTCCGTCTTCCTGTGTGGTTTGGCTGTCATGTGGCGTGAATTGTCTTGTTTCCTACTTCCTGCTATTGACAGCAGCCCATAACTAGACACGGTATAAGGAAAGGTCAGGAAGAATAGAACCTTAAGTCTAAAAACTGGCTACAAATGGAATCAGTGCAGTAAGAAATGTTAAGTAGTGTTTCGTTTTGCTGATATATTGTCATCATGAAGGCACACAAAGCAAAATTGGGCAAATGTGGACCTGGCATGGCATATTATTGACCTCTACAATAAAAAAAATAGACTTTTAGTGATGTTACAAAACATTCTTCTTTCATTAAACTTCTGTAAAATCAGATGTTTGCGTCTTTTTGTTCCACTTCCATATTGCCGTGATCAATAAAAGCAAGATAAATGGTAAATCGAAGTTCTTAACACATCAACCGAACATATCAATCAGTCAAGTTTATTTCAATAGCAAATTTCACCAACAAGGTAATTCAAAGGGCTACATTATAAAAACACAAAATCAACTATTGAAACATTAGATTTTTTGTTACACATCAAAATAGACATAGACATAGCCACATGTGAAGCACTTTAAGATATTTCTCATTTCAGTCGTAGGTCTTGCATGAATAAATCTTAAATCTTACATGCATGCATGTACGTGGAGATCTGAAATTATCACACATTGAGACCAGCATATTATCCAGCTAAACATACATGGTATTTCTGCATCTGCTAATGGCAACACTTGCAGAAATATCTCCAGCGTTGCAAACGTCTCCTTCAGGTTATGTAATAAAAGAATAAAACTGGTTTTGAGTGGAATGCGTAAACGAATCCTTTCTGCAGGCTCCAAATGTTTCAGCAATGTTGGTCAGAGTCTGCAAACAACGAAACGTTTTGAAGTTTTTAGCTACGACTTTACAGCGCACCGACTGAACCATTTCTAATCAAAAAGAAAGCGCCGTGACATTGATTTAGCTCTTCCCATCTAAAAAGTTTGAGTTTTTTTACATCAAAACTCTGAATGTTTTAGCAAACACAGTGTTCCTGATACAGATGTCTTATTTACGCTCCGTACGAAACTCCTCAGTTGCTCCTCACAGCCCAGCTGTTGGAGGAAGGAAGACCTTTTCGCCTGCTGTCACGCTGCAGACAGATTAGCATTTTTGTCTGGCAGGGTTTGAAAAGTCGGGAGGCAGACATTTCATGAGTTAGTCTGGCTCTGGTTGACCTTTGACTCGCCAATCTGTCCACCAAACACTTTGCATTCACCATGCTCTTTTCAAGATCTTCTTCTCTGGTTCACAAGATTCTTTTTAAGCGACATGATTCCAGTTGGAAATACCATTAATTCAGATAAAACATGGCAGATCAGACTGAATGTTTGCCGTTTTATTGTTTTTATTTGCTAGATTCCAGAACAATCGGTCTCTCTTACAAATTAACCAGTTTGCCAATGTGAGTTTGGTACTTTGGGTGAAACATTTTAGGTTTCCTCCCATAGACGTCTCACTGAAATAGCTGAACCTTTGGACCATTCTAAATCACTGATTTTATGTTTCTTAGTCCTAATTGTACCCAATTTAGCAGTATACATATGGTCATTTTTCATCCGATGTACCCATTTCCATCAAAACTTTAACTTTTTGACTGATGTCTTGAGATGTTGCATCAACATTTCCACATAATATTTTACTCCTCGTCTATTTCGTGAAACGTAACAAACGTTTCACGAACTGGATGTAACAAACTAACATTTTAATTTATGGACCTCTGGACATTTCTCCTAAATACCCGAGTGCATTTTTAAAACTGAAGTTTGGCTTTTTATGTTGCATAATGGCTTCTTTTTTTCTTTCAGTCAGCTTCCTCACAATGCATTTTTACTTTTGTTTTGAGGCTGATTCAAGTATTTCACACCTAAAAACTCACATCTTCATACATCGTTGGGACACAAAACTTGTCTTATTTCCTGAACGCTATCCAATGACTGCAGCTGTGTAAAACAGCCCAAATGTAATACTTACCATACTGAAAGTAAACACATTTAGACATAAATTTCTATGAAACCGAACACATGGATATTTAAGCGAGACGTGATTGTGTTTTGTGTGCCTGTAAGTACACCCAGTAATATGAATGCATGCAGAAGATGTTTGATGGTACTGCAGGTTTTACACAGTGCATTTTACGAGTTTATGTTAACGGTTTAAAGTTGGACCGCCATATAAGGATTTTATATTCAGTTTATTTTTACTTGTGCAGCTGACGGCTGATCTTAGTCAAACGCTCGATAAGAGGAGACGGGAGCCACAAAATAACGTTTACAAGCTCTACTGACTGAGAAAAGGGAAATTATTTGAGCTCCTTATGTTCCATTCTGATGATTTATGTTCCTTGAAGGGCGATTCTGTTTACAGAGAAATCATAATACATTTCATTTATGGTTTTGGTTGTGTGTGTGTGTGTGTGTTTTTTTTATTCCTGTTTATTGGTCTTGATGTGTTTTATTTTTGGATATTTAAAATGTGTTCCAGTGTTCTTCACTAAACTGAAGTTTGTTGGTCTTTAAGAGGGCGAACTTGCATTATTATCCCATTATCAATATATTCTATGAAAATGGTCTCAAAACAACTATATTGTTATCGTAATATTTAGCTTGCCAACTGTTGTTCCTGTTTTTTTTTTTTTATTTTGATGCATGACCGGTCAAAGAGTTGACTTTGTGTTTCTTGCATGTAAGGAAAAAGTCCTGTTGTCTTCTTTCAGCCTGCCCAGTAACAGGTGGGGGAGGGGAGAAATCTGTGTTACTCTATGCTGCCTGAGAAAGTGGATTTCTGACTCTCGTCACTCTGGCTTCTCAATAAAAAGATTTAAACCATTTGGGAAAAGTTGGCTAATCGTAAATCTCGATATGACAGCCTTTTGTATAAATATTATTACAACTTTCTGAGGACTTTCTTGTCTGTGTTTACATTTAGTCTGTTTTCTAAAGACAGAAATTTGGCAGACATTCATGCTCCGTTCTAAAATGTATTGCCAGTGTGCTGGCTGAAGCTTTGTCTAATGAGAGAAATAAAACCAAAGACCTCAAGGTCAACAGACAGAGAGTATTTTTGCAAAGAATGGCTCAGATAAAAATAAACCAGTGAATAATACCTGTAAACACAATTGGCAGGGCAATAACTCCAGAATAGAAAACTGTAAAGCCCTTGACTTGAAGTTGGTCACTAGAAAACTCTTACTTTTTGTGTTGCGGACGTTTTGAGACATCCAACAAAATGTTTGATGGTTGTTTGATCATCTTCTCTGAAGAATTTGACAAACTCTGATTTGTTTCATCGAACGTTTCAGGATAAAAGAGAAACCTGTTAATGACACAAAGTGTCTGGACTCATTTCTGCAGAGGTTTTTAGACCGTCTCTGTTCTGCTTGCAGGGGGACCACACCTGGGCGACCATGCTGGGACAGAGTGTGCGTCTGCAGCCGGTTCCCATCCAGAGCCTGTCGGAGCTGGAGCGCGCCCGGCTGCAGGAAGTGGCGCTGTACCACCTGGAGGAGAGAGACCTGGACTGTAAGATCAACATTCCCAGAGGTAGGAGGAGGACGGTGGAGTAAGCATTCAACCTTTAGCTTGAAACTGATGGGGAAAAAGTGCTGGTTATAAGTCAAATAATCTGACAGTGGAACTGGAACTTTGTTGTCACTAACGAGCTCCCATATCTTTCATTAGGTTTTGTCTTATTTCAATCGTACTAAGATATTTTCACCAGAAACTAGACCAAAAATGCTTGGTAACATTTTGTGTTTTTGCAGTGTAGGCGGAATCTCTTGCTTCTTGAGAACAGGGGCTTCTTTGCTTGACCCCAGATTTCTGTCGTCATCATCATCATCATCATCCTTTGGGATAACTTCCCAGAAAGAAACAGAAAAACAAGAATTGGATTTTTCCCGTAAATATCCCATCCTGTCCTTCTAAACCAAATTTGGCGTATCGTCTTCATCTCATGAGATCAGTGAACCTTAATAATCTGAGCTGAAATATTAAAGGCGGCTGCTTCTTTACATGATCCTGTTTTCAGTAGAAGAAGAAGCAGCCAGCATATTACTGCTTTCTTAGATAACACTGTGACCAAAGCCTAGAGATTAACCTTTCCGTGACCCTCTTATTTCATTGTCTCTGCCCCGATGAACAAACCGTCATATGATCGATTCATTACTCTAGAGGTTTTCTTCCCCGTCTAGTGACTTTTTGAAATACCTGCAGGAGAAAAACACCCCCATACATTTCTCAATCCAAAGGTGCCTGACTTTGCGGCTGCTGACGCATCGCGAACAACCGCAGTAAGAATCTCTGAAGCGCTTCAGAAGGAAAGTCGAGCCTTCATCCTGGCTCAGATGTTTATTTGCGCGGCATTCCTCCGCTTGATGCTCCCCGCTTTGAAATATTGTTTTCGTGGATCCTCTTGATCCGCCTGAACTCCAAAGAGCTGAATCCACGTGGTAATGGGAAATAGTTGCTCCAATGCGCCGTAACCTTTTTGTTCGTTTTCCCCCTCACACACACACCCTCAGACGTTTTCTCCCAGGTTTTATTGAGACCTGAGGGATGCAGACAAGGTTTTTTTTCTTTCTTTTTCTGCTGCTGTGGCCATTAAGATAGTTTTCTCAGACTCCCAACGTTTTTTCAAATAACCAACAGGCTCAACTTTGACCACGTTTCTATTTGAAGCTCGGTACACTTCTTTTTTTTTTTTTTTTTTTTCAGCTCAATTATGCGGTTTTTCTTCACAGTTTGTGGCTTTTGTTCGCATACCCAAGGAGAAACTTTAGCGGCCACCCAATTTCACAAAACTTCCCCCATGTTTGCGTGTTTAAATTCCCCCTCAGGGAAACTAAACCCCAGTGAGTCTCGTTGACATCATCCTGTGGGAAGAAATGGAATTTTAAAAAAATTAATCGACCAGCATGGTGAAAATGTGTTGGTGCATCTGTCACTTTATATAACCAGAGATGACAGAAAATTCAGCCTGTAAGTATTTTATTTAGGTTTTATGTTTGCTTGGACGATGTTTTTAGCATTTTACTACTCTGAGAAAACGTGTCCAAAGAGCTATAAAAGGATTTCCCAAAAAGGACCCAGAACTTTCCTCTGGATATTTGTCCAGCACCTCATCCAGTCCAAAACAAACCTCTTATCTGCAAACGGCATCCTGAAACATCGTCGTCTGTGAGGCTAATCGAGGCGAAGCTTTCCAAAAATCAAAATACACCCTACATAGTTTCCCGTTTTTAGATGCAGCCCTTTGGTTCTCGTAGACGTTCAGACTTGCTAAGTGATGAAGTTCATAAATCAAAGTAAAAATCCAATAATCATTTTAAAAAAGATCACAGCAGATTTTGTTCCTGCTGACATTTTGAGGTCAGCGTCTTTCAAAGATGCTCGGCGATTTTCAAGTAAATGAACAATATTTTTTTTTTCCCTTTATTTTCCTCTGAAGTTATTTCTTTCTTCAATAATAGACTGAAGAATAAATTTCATCTTAAAGTTAAAAGCTGAAAACAACCATTTTCAGCAACAAGAAGTCTCCTCATTGAAACAGAACCACCGAAATATTCTATTAAAAAACTCTAAAATATCTTTTGAGGTCGAGTTACTGCATTTCTTCCTCTTCCTGTGAAACTCTCTGCTTGTATCATTTTCTGGAAATCCTCTGATATCTTATTCATAACACTTAAAAAGAATTATATAACTTGACGTCTTTCTCTTTTTGGGCCGCAGATTAGAAAGACAAACAAAAAAAAAAACGTGGGAAACGGATGAATCACTTTCTATTTCCTTTTTTTTAGTTTCCATGGCAATAAAAATGTCAAGTATACCCCCAAATTTGGGAAAAAAAAAAAAAAAAATTCAACCTCTTTCAACAACCTTTATTAAACTATGCAACTGTTACAGTTTACTGGTATGAAACGTGTTGTGTATCCAAACAAACCATTCTACGGTCAAAAGCTAAAGTTTGGTTTGAAATTGTGTCAACTGAGAATACGAATAAAACTAAATATCTTTACGCCTTGAAATTGTATCATATACTTTGTCTTTTTTTTATATACGCACATCTTTTTTTCGGCTGATTTATTTTAGTTTGTTTAAGGAATATTGACGGGAAGAAATCTGTTGGAAACTTGAGGTTGTAATCAAATAATCTGAAACTCGTAAGACAGCAAACCGTCGTTATTGGAGATTTCTAAAATGATTCATGATTTCTAGTGACATCCTTCATGTTGAACAGAGGCACAGTTCAGCTCTTTCAAAAACCATCCTCTAAAGATAATAACGCTGTAAGTTTGCTCTAAACAAGATAAGCTTGGAACAACAAAGGGCAACGTGACAGAGGTTGTTGGCATCAGCTGAGTGAAAGATTCCTTTTATATATTTTTTTTTAATCTTTTCCGCCTGGCTTGCAGACAAAGCTCTCAGTGAGCGAGTGTGGGAATAGTTTAGCTCCTCGTCTCCCCTGAGGGGGGAAATCTCCGCAGAGCAACGTGTCCGTTTCGGCCGAGGCTTCGGCTCCCGCCGTGCCGCCCTCCTCCCCCCCGCTCGTCCTCCTCGGGCTTCTGCTGCGTCGCTCGCTTCTGTCAGATTTCGCTCTGTATTTTTGTTTTCTCATGTCACGTTTAAACCAGATCCCTTGCTGCTAAATTTTGTTTTTGTTTTTGGAGCTCATTCTCATGCCCCCTTATTCTCGAGTCTCTTTTCTACCGGGGACGACGACACTATCTGGGTCTCCGCTTTGTGTTTTTTTTGTTCCGTCTGTTTTTCTCGTTTTATCCTCTCTCCAGCCCGTCTGCCTTCTCTTAATTCAAAAATAATCAAACTCAGAGCGGCAGAGAGGCCAGCAAACACCAGATCTTTTGATGAACTTTTCAGGGAGACTAATTTCAGATGAAGAATTTAATAAAACTTGCAGCTGCTATTGTTTTTTTTTTGTTTTTTTTTTTTATTGCCAGAGATATAGTTGGGATATTATGTTGAACTCTTTTGTTTGTTAAAAACCAAATTAAATTAACATAATTCTCACACTAATCCCTGCAAATATTTGCACTTCCAGGGGTTTTTAATCAAATCTGTTGCCATGTGTTTGGACACAGACACCAACAACAAATTACTTTCTAGTAGAACTTGCAGAAAAACAATGTCACACTCCTTTAGTTTTTCACTTTTGATCACATACTTTTATGTTTTTTTTTGTTTTGTTTTTGTTTTTTTCTTTTTAGGATTTATACAACAGACCATCATGTTCACATTCTCTGCAGTTCACGGTGATATTTTGCTTGTAGTCTGTCCCACGGAAATCTGAACAAAGATTGACGTTCATGGCTGGAACCTGGCAGATTTTGGAAAATATTCAGCATCTTTGCATCTTTTGCGTTGCAGTTCATCTTTTTCCTTTCTCAAACAAGCTATGTTAGTTTGGATTCAGATGGTTTCCAGGTATTTATTTACACAGGTGCCAGAACGTAAGTTTGTAAAAAGCTAAACAAAATAAGATGAGAATGTTGCATTTCTGCAAACATCTCTCTCTGTTTGACCATAACTTTTTCTTCTGCGTTTCGTAAATGTACAAACAGGAACACACACTCGTCAATAGAAAATAAGCCGTAGATGGAGGTGCCGTGTGTTCACTGGGAGGAGCTCTGCACTTTAGAAATAAACCTTAATTTCCTGCAGTCGTGGGAATTTGACCTCTTTATCCCAACAGCTGAAATGCTCTCTGCCCCACAAACCCCCCAACCGCTCTGTTTCTATTTTATGTCTATTTTTGAAAATGTCCTTGTCAGTAAGGGTGAAAACAGAAAGGAAGGGATTTTGTTATTCATGTCGCAGGTATTTTGGAAAGCGCAACTGTAGGTAATAAATCAAATCCTTACGTAATCGGGAAAAGACTAATCCATCCTCGGATTAGTCATTTCTAAACACCAGACCCCGGGATTCTTGCACATAAACAAGTCCGAAAAGCGAAACGTGGACCTGCTTTGAAACTAATTACATAAGGAATCGGTGAAGTTCCTGTGAACCGACTCTCGTGTGGGGATGCTCCTAGTTCACATCAGATCTGGTTGGATATCCGATTTGATTTGTGATCAAATTGAGCAAAAGTAGTGAGATTAGATGTAACATAATTGATTTTTTAGTGCAATGACTCTTAGCTTGAGCAACTCTTAAAAAAAAAGATAGACAAACATTTTAGTCTATAGATGTATAAGTGTGGGTATAAAACAGCAGGAAAAGGTGGTTTTACAAAGTCTGTCTTGGATGCTAGCGAGAGAAAAAAAAAGACTCAGAAGACATTGTACCACTTCACAACCAGGCAGCGCAGCGTTGGTGAATCACATGAAATCCAAAGTGCAAACATTAAACATTGTCTCTGTGTTTTTCTTGGACCCCCTTTTCTTACGCTCACGAAGGAAAGCAGGCTGTCCAAACAAACAGCTACGGCTCGTCTGCAGAAACATTTGGCTCTGTTGTTGAGGAAAGAGAAGAAAGTTGTGCTGAGGATGCAGTCTGCATGGGACACGAGAAAGACGATGGCGGACGCTTTGAGTTCACTTCCGTCCCAAAAGACGGCCAAAAACAATCGAGCTTTTCCACACAGTGGACAGCGCGGTGTTTGATCTCAACAATACACGATACATAGAAGAAAGACATTTCAGACTGTGGATTGCACAATCTTTATTGTTGAGAATGAAGCAAAGACGATCCGACGGTTGGCATTCGTTGTAACTTTTTGTTTTTCTCCTTTCTCCCCGCAGAAATACGCAAACGAAGAAAGTCCCTCCGCAGACGGTTTGACTCCTTCTCAAAGGAGAAGAAAGAGCGAGGTAAGTTCACGCAGCACTCTGACATTAAAGCGGTAAAACACAACACCATCCGCGGCCTTAGGCCCTCTCTCCCAAGACGAGCCGCGAACGCATTTCCGCGAATCCAATGTTTACCACAGCGAGCGTCATCATGAAGCACAATGTCCCCTCTGTCCGTTCAATCAGCATCACCACCGCTGACTTCCAGTGGCTTTTACTAGCGCTAACCACTTTTGGTCCCTCTTGAAAAGCAGTGTTTATAAAGCACGAGGAGGGTCGGGGCTGCAGACTGAATCCTGCTGGGTTCCCAGAGGGAGGCATGTGCGTCTTTGTTTCTGCTGGTTTAGTGTAATATAAACCGAATAATGAATGAATGCAGACACCCACTGGGCACTTTTACGTGGCGCTGTGTCACCGTTGTTAACGTAACGGCCCGTTTTCTGGAAATGACCACAATATTGTTTAGGCTGGTCAAAGAGTTTATGACTGAACTACTCAACGAGCAAATGCCACTATCGTCGTTTCTTGGTCAATAAGCTAACGAAGAAGCTTGGGGAATTGGATGGTTAATGAACTGAATTTAAACCTTCAAGTCCTAAACGGAGCCAAATTTCAAGTATCGCAGAGAGAGTCGGGTGAAAATGACCTGGAATGTGTGACTGATGGGAGCGGAGCATTAAGCAAATAAGCCAGTCGAAGAAAAAAATGTCTTGGCCTACTCTGCAGAAGGAATTTGTTGACTAAATCAGGACTGAGTTTGCCAATTTAACTGTAGCATTATGTAGTTTTATTTCGAATCACATCACAGGCATCTCACTTCTGCTGTAGCCTCCACATTAATCCCCAGGTTTTGTCGTAATGCAGCCTATATTTGTGAAGAATTTGTGCAAAAACAGATTTAAATTTTATTCTGGTGTACAATAAACATGGTGTGTCTGGACTGACAGTTTTATTCAACAAGGAACAATGGTGCTGCTGAATAAGTGCAGTCAGAACCGGTGTAAAGACGAGTTGAGGTTTCTCTGTGACGGGTCTTTGAATGGGCTTTGCGTTATCCAGCCACATTTACGAAAGCCAAAGAGTTCTTTGTGTGCCGTTTAAAACCAAGGACTTGAGCTACAACAACGGACCAGGACGGATGTTTGTGGGTCATGTGTTTGTTATTACTCTATGGGTCTATCCCACATCCTTCCCACAGTTTTACACTATTTGCTTTTTATAATTTTCATTTTTCTGTTGAGCAGCCAAACGGGAAACAAAGACAGCTGCGTCGGTTGTAAACGTTAGATGTTTCTGCGGCTCTGTTTGCATCTGCTGCTGCTTCAATCGCTCTGCGTCCGATCCGGCTCCCTTTCCCGGGGCATCAGTAGTGGCGAGCGTGTAAACAGAAACAGAGGCGGCTCACACTCATCTGTCGAAATTAGCCTCATTGTGTATTCTGTTCCCTCCCACTCGTCTCGTTTATTTACCTCCATCGAGCCACCTGACTCAAACCTCTCAGAATGAGATGTTCTCTGGTTTCAGGTGATTATCGCTGCAGGGCGAGATACCATCCGACACACTCCACACACACATTCCTGGCTGTCTGTGCAGACCTCTAAATCCCGCCTGCAGCTTCTCACACACAGACGCTGGAGCGGCCATGCTGACCGGGCTAATCAAAACACAGAACATCGGGGCCTGGTTCTGCTTTCCTGCTGCCTCCAGGGGTCAGCAGGTTACAGATTACAGTACATATAACAGGATTACACGGTGGCAACCGTAATCTGTTTGGAGACTGGCTGGGAAGGAATCGGATGTGAAGCTTGAGTGGCGAGCTGGTTGGTACCAGAGTTACTGTATTGGGAGGGGACATTTTGTCGCTGTAGGCGAGATTTTGTCACTTTTGACTTTGAGGCGCTTTGTGTCTAAATAGTTTTCTGCTGTAGTTCCGATTGTGCAAATTGGAACTACAAAAATAAATTTGCCTTACAGAAACATGACAATTAGAAAAAAAAGAAGAAAAAAAATCACGGTTATCGTTGAAAAAGTTTTTGCATTAGGATAATGTCGTTTTTCGGCTGTATCAGTATTAGGGTATTTCACAAAACTGCAATGGAAACACTGTTTTCACGAGTCATGTGATCAACAATCGAATGTTGCTACTGGGGGAAAAGACGAAGAAGAAAACAGGAAATGTTAAGATGATTATTATGATGCAGCATGTTTTTTAACGACTTATCTTGTGAATAAACTTATTCACAATGTGATTTTAAGTGAGTTTCTCATTTAAAAGAAACTCTGCAATTGTGAAATTGTGTTTTTCGTTCAACGTTAGGGGAATATCGACAACGTTTTTTGCACATTTGTAATGGAAATGCAACTTCCTTCTTCTTAGGGTGCATACCAGGTGCAGGAATGAACCAACTAGAAGAGAAGGGGGAAGCTAAGCTACTTCTTATTAGATGTATTTATTATTTTTTTCTATGCTATATTAGCTATATTAGTGCAGAATTTTTCAACTTTTTTTTTTCTTGACCCTTTTTATGGCGCCCCTAGACTCCTGGCACCCTCAGCATTTACCTGTACTGCCTAGGCCAAAGGCCAGCCCTTAGTGTACTTAGAGGGCAACAAGTGTTAAACCAACAGTTCTTTTTAATATTAATACCCCAGATCACCCATATTATAATCCGACTGCTGCTGTGGCTAAAGAAAAACAGAGGAGAATCCAGAGCAGCAGTGCAATAAATCTGCAACAATCCTACGTTACTGGAAGAGTCTGAGCTGACGACTGGAAACGCTCCAGAGGCAGAGGACTCAGATTTATGAGCACAAACACAGCTGTCTTCCTGTCTGAGCTTTAGTGTTCATTTCACAATTAATCCCTGCTGCCCTGGCAGTCAAACAAAGTCAGGGCTAAGGCTAATGCAGAAGCAGCTTGTCAAATTTTTAAAAAATGTTTATTTTATTTTTTTTTTGTTTTGTTTTTTTGGTCCTGAAATCACTGTTGCAAACCAACTTTAAACAATAAAACTTCAAACTTTAAAAGATAGTCATTCTTGACCAGTGGATGACTTTTATATTGAGAATTTTGATACATTATAAAATAAACTTTTTTTTATGTACATCATAAGCAAAGCATTTTGTTGGAGTCTAAATTCAGTACAGTTATATTGTTATGTAATTGTAGAGAAGCGTAAAAGAAGAAAGATGTTTTTTGTTGTTGTTTTTTTACAAATAAGGAGCCCTGACTCAAGATATTGTAGAGCCAGATGTTGCTGCAGTTACAGCTGCAAAATTTTTTGGGATTAGTTTCAGTCATAGTAGCCGAGGCTCATTAAATTGCTCAATATGATTGAGGTCTGGCCTTTGTCTAGACCAGCAGGTATGTCTAAGGTCTTTGTTCTGCTAGAAGACAATCTTCTCTACCGGTTTCAAGTCTTTCAAAGCCTTTTAAAGTAATTTATAATGTCCACTTTCAAGACTGCAGTAGAGCCATCAAGCGCCCTCAGTCATGGTACTGCCATCGCCGTGTTTCAGTGTGCCAGCAATATGTAATGTTAGTTTTTCAACACTTCGTGGCATGCAGTTCACATTCTTTCTCCATTTTCCACTCGACTTGTGGCTAAATGAAGAAGGGACTCTTATTTCTTTCTCCACCACAAAGACCAGATTTGTGAACTGAAGGACTAGTAGTTGTGTGTATCTCAAAAGATTTGCACAAAAAAGCAAATAAGAGAGGCACAGGTCATGAACAATTTAGCACAACTTTCCCTTAAAAGCATACATTTTCCAACCAACATCCTACTATAACGTCTTCATCAATACAGCCTGCAGCTATTGGGCATCTAAACATCCACTTCATGTGTCTGTTGGCCGAACCAGTCGGTTGTTAAATGCTCTGCTTCCTGAACAAGCAAACAGCTCGAGTGCAAACAGCTAAACACAGCAATGTGATTATTTTGCTAGTAATTACAGCTAAAAGAGAGACGGCACCACGGATGATGGGTCAGTCCAATAGCAAACATCAACACTGAGGAACAAGCCCAGGCTTACTGAACAACGGTCTGAAGCATGTTCCTGTTAGTGGGGGGAAAACGAGACGCAGGGTTCGTCTACGCCGCTGCTGGTGTGTATGGAGAGCAGTTCTTCCCTTAGTGGCAATCTGAAGAATCACCGTTACTAAATATATGCTCTGACTCAGCCGATGGTGTCGATAAGAAGCAAATGTGGTCATTAGTGCGGAGGAAATTCCTGAAGTTTGGAAAGCACATGTTCTACTTTAAAAAAAAAAAAAATCACTAGAAAAGGTTTTATTGTCTACTACTCTGACAATTTTCTCAATAATACTTGCCTCAGAAGCTTGTAGCAAGTAAAAAGAAAACTGGCCACATTAAAACTAAACATCATTTATCATTTTTACTTCTTAAAATCTGTACAGAGAGACATACATCTCAGTATGGTACAGGAAATCACCCAAGCGCTTGTGTACGTCATGCATTGTTTTACTTAAAGACAAAACCAGATCAGGACTGATGAGCAAAAATGATCAGCAGAATGATTGTTGGTGATTCACTTCCTGTAATATTGGTGGTTATACAAATCAGTACAGTACCAGAAGACTGTTTCTTATTAATTTGGATACTGTTACATATTATGAAGGAGTAGACCGATACTATTATGTTAATGTTTTTGGTGGCGGGTGAAAAGTCCTGCTCACCTTCCATAGAAACCGTGGCGTCAGTCTTTATTTAAGTCCCCTTGCACCATTACCTTATCACTGAATCTCTTATATTTGTGTTGCAGGAAAGGCATGAAGCGTATCTGCATCATGTGCACCACAAAGCCAAACCCAAACAAACCCTTGGGGAAGCCCTCTGAGGGAGGGCGCTTTGGAAGGGAGATGTTAATGGAAGTGGAAAGTTGTGTTGTGTTGGGGAGCAACAAACACAACTTTGAGTTGTTGACACTGTCATTGCTCGGCTTTGTAGAGCTAATGGTATCGCCACCTGTCACAGAAAACAGAACAAGGGAATAAAGTTGGAAGCAGACTCTTTTTCATGCCCATCCACACCTGGGAAATGTTCCAGTGACGTTTCTAATATTTTCTAGACAATGTAGGGACTCGGGTAAACCCAAACCGGGCTGTGGGAAAGTATTTCCCCCCTTAGATTTCATCTGTTTGGTTGTTCGCTACACTTATATCTTTTAGATAAATGTGTTGATATCATTGAACGATTGAGGAAATACAATACAGTTTCAGTCGCTGGCAAAGAGTGTTTTGGACAAAGGTTTTGTAGACTAGACCTCTACAAAACCTTTTTTTTTATTTTTTTTTATTTACTCGTTCAGAGACAGACTTCCTGGTGGATCGTTGTCCAACTGCCTAAACCAACTGCACTCTACCTCAAGGCCAGAATAGGAGTTGGATGTTTTCCCTCCGTAGCAAGTCAGAATCTTGAGAACATCATCCTCCTACCACCATGTCTGACGATGATCTTTGTTTGAGATGTTTTGTCTTTACTCCAGATGTAACGGCGTAAATGTCACAGATCTCAGAGTCATTTTGTAGGCTTGTCGGCTCTCGGTGTGGTATTCAAGAGTCTTTAAACTCAAGAAGTAACTCTGTAACCTTTTCTCCTTAGACTGATCGTCAATTTCTAGAGATCAGAGTGTTTTGCTCTTTGAGATATTTCAACCTACTTCTTGTTTCTAGATCTGTGCTATTTAAATTACTTCTGACAATAATTTGTCATGCATATTGCTATTGGAATCAAACTGAAGTGGTGCAGACAACATAGATAATCACTGCTGATTCATGAATCCACAACCAGGCGGTTTCATATTCCGCGTTGGTCTGAATAGCTTTTCCCCTTCATAAATCAAAATAATCATTTGAAAACTGCCTTTTGTATTTAATCGGGTAGAAAAGAAACTAACAAAACTTTTAATGGGGTAAATACTGCTTTATTGTGGCCTCATGCCGTAGTGTCCATTAGCACGTTTCACGGCAACAAGCTAGTTGTTGCAGGCAGGTTGCCATCAGAACAAGGAGCTTATCTTTGGAGTGGCACCTGACCAGGGAACATGTGGAGGAGGGGTGAGCTCAGTCACTTCAGCCTGAAATTACACAGCATTAAAGGGAAAACGGCGAAGGCTGAGTTATTGAGAGTTCAAGTTTAAACTGGAAACTGGCTGCAGGTGAAGCTGCTGCAGCAATTGAAGGATAAAGGGGGAAAAAAAAGAAATTTACTTTGAATTTTACTGCGTTTCGTATTATGTTCCATTAAGAATTGGAAAACCTGCAGAAACGTCAAAGTAAGTATTAAATTGGCTCGACGTGAACACAATATGGCATTCTGTACGCGCATTTAATAAAAAAAATTACTTCGTCCAATTTTTATTTTCATCATTCCTAAATTTCTTTTGCCGTCTTTATTGATGATCTTGGAAGGCCTGCAGCCAAACTGCTGGGAGCAGAGGTCTGTGCGGTTATTTAAGGCTCAGTCAATCCCATATATTTAAGGATTTGCGTGGCCTCCTTCCAGTCCCTCTCTGCTGCGCGACCTGGTTGCCGGGTGTTGGTGCACGTGGGCGATCGTCATGTGTTTTTCATTCAGGCCATCATGTGCTGCTTCACGGTTCTCTGAGTGCGAGAGGGAATAGCTGGAGGGAGGGCAATCTCCTCACCGTTTCCTACCTCATGCATTTTAATGGCACAGGTAAAAGTAACTCAGTCCTGTTAAGTGCTCGGCTTGCTTTGCGATTTTTAGAGATCTAGTCTTCTGACAAGAGCTCATTAAGTGCACCTGAGCGTTGGTTGCAGCCAGAAAGTCAGATGTGATCAGAAATGAAGACATGATTATCAAGAGGAATCAGTTGGGACATAGCTGTGTTTACGTTGACCTTAAAAGTGCGCAAATTGGAATCACACAAATTTGCTTAAAGGAAACGCGCTAACTTTGAAAGAGCAAACTTTTATGATAAAAACGGTTCCGACAGGCCAACCTGAAGCTGATGTTCAGCCGTCATTTGCCGTTGACCTCCTGATGTCAGACATGGCGACGATGAAATTTGTTAGTTTTGTCTTATTTAAAGTCTACTAAGATATTTCCACGAGAAACTGGACCTAAAATACTTGGTAATATTTGGTGTTTTTGCAGTCCAAACACATAGCAGTTGGGTTAATTGGTCTCTAAATGTCTCTCAGACATGATTATTTGTCACACATGTTTCCATGTCGCCCCTTTTGTTGGTGTTGGTCTCTTGGAATAACTCCCTGCGTTCTTCCCCAGAAAATGCCCCCAAAGCATTCGGCATCCCGCTCTCCCAGGCCATCGCCAACGACCAGGCGTACAAGCGGCGTCAGGACGCCCTGAAGGAGAGCAGGCGCGACTGCCTGGACCTGGAGGCCAGCGTCCTGCGCTTCAGGGCCGAGAAGAGGCAGTTCTTCAACGGGAGCAAACCTCTGGGCAGCTCCTCGTCCATCACAGGCGGAGTCCCCGGGTCCCCTTCCGCCAACTCGGTGGCTCCGGCGCCGGTGTACGACACGCAGAGCAAAGCGGCGTCACCGACAATTATGGACAACGCCAGCCGAGGGCAAAGGAGGGTGAGACGGGTTTCGCTTTCACGCTTCAGCCACAGAGACGTCGCACTGAAGAAACGTACATTTAGTCCGTGAAACCTGTGAATGTTACGCATTTCTGCAGATTGTTTTTGCGATTTCGCAAGCTAATAAGTCTGCTCAATTATCTGATTTGATAAATAGTTCTTGGAAACACAAACAATTTTATTTTTACACGTTAACCTGAAAAACTCAGACACTAACCATACAATAAAAAATCAGCACTGTAACGTTAAGGTTTTCCACTGTTATCAGCAATGTAATGCCCACATTTAAAAAAAAAAAAAATATATATATATATATATATATATATATATATATATATATATATATTTTAAATGGTTTACTCTGACCTGAATCTCACATGCTAATTCCAATTGCTAGTTGTAGATCTTAACTAAAATCTACAGACTAATATGTACGGTATTCGAAAACTTGTGCATTTGACCATCAAATTCTTGTTTCCACTGCCGTGTGTTTGTTGGACAAATTCTGTCTGTTTTCACGTGTGTGTGTGTGCACACACACATGATTAAGGCTCACCAGTTATTTGTCTACATGCTGATGTGAAACCAGTTGTTTTCCTAAGCTCATAATGAGCATCATTACAGCCACAGAGGACAGCAATTGAGCATGAAGCAGCAATCAGGCGGAGCTTCTAGGAGCCTGTCAGGGAGGTGAACTCTGAACAGGCTGGAAGCATTTAGAAGAAAAAACACCACCTCTTAGGACTTGTGGCAATTATCCTTTTAACTTATTGCTTAATAAACATATTCTTGAGGAAAAAAATGTATTAAAAACGAAGCCTACTCACAATTTCTATTTAAGAATTAGCATCAAAATGTGGTTAAAGTAAAAAAAATGTTTTTTTCCTTCAAAGAATTTGGAATTATTCACTAAGTCACTTGTAACTTAGAGAAATAAAAAAAATGTACGTAAAAGTCATGAAGTTAATTTAACCACATATTTTGTCCCATCCGTCTCTTCCAAAGCTCTTTCTGCCATACAGCGTATTTAGTGAGACTATCCATCACTAATATTCAAGAAATATGTCTAATATATCTAAAGAAAAGAACCAATAAAACTTAACACCACAATCTTCAAAGCAAAGCCAGTTAGAGTTTTAATTGTCTGGTTTTCTCACTTCCTGTGGAACCTAGCTGCGCCGCCTTGCTAACACATGCTTCTAATGGAAACACAAACAGCTGGAGATTCAGTTTGGTCATTTCATGTTCGCCCTTCTTCACGCCAGGGCTACGATGAACAGCACAGACGCTTACCAAGACCGTGGCGCTTTATTGCTGCTTGATTATTAAGCAAATTCTTATAAAACTTTTGAGCTGTTGTGACTGAAGTAGAAGGAATTGGGGGAAAGTGTAGTATTTTATGACCCGGTTGTAATTGGTTTAAAATTCTGCAATTTAGCACAAAATATGTACATTTTTAATTCTAATATAGTCGCTGCTTATGTAAAGTAAACAAACCTGATCATTTTTCGCATCATCCACAAATGTTTTGACCATGTGTTAATTTGACACACTTCAGATGAAGGAAATATCTTCGACTTTATGAGCCACAGTACCGTTGCCACTGAAGAAATTCCTCCAGACTCTTGATGTTCCTCCAGGAGATTTGAGGCACAAATTGTTTCAACTCCACTCTGAGTTTTGTAACATTGTTTTCTTCACAAATATTAGACGTACACATCTAAATCTGAATGACGTATTCGTAGTGCTATTTCCAAGTTTACATATCCCAACATTTATAGATAAAAGCGAGTTGGAATATTCCTTGTGTTAGAAGAACTTAAATATGTGAGTAGTTTATGTCCCAGGCTCCCCAGAATTATTAGGACTTTTCTTGCTATTGTATGTGTGCAGAATTTTGATCTGCAGCCAAAACAACCGAGCATAAAGAGAGTATGATTCTCCTCGACACATGGGCAGAAACGTGTCCCTTGGAGAATAGTGATCCTTCAGAGGCCAATCATTTCCTGCTGATGAAAAACACGCCTCGGGTTTAAAAGCTAATAGTACTAGTAAAGTAAGATAAATGGCCAGTTGCTTCTATGGAATATTGTATAATAATAATAATAATAATAATAATAATGTTGTCACCTTCCTAAAATAATGTCATTTTTTGCCATGAATAATTTTTGCAAAAAAATAAAAAAAATAAAGAAAAGAAAAATCACCCATTTTTTTATTGTCAAAAGATTATTTAGAGAAAAAAAATCACTTTTGGCCCAAAAAAAAAAAAAAAAAAAAAGACCATTATTTTAGAAAAGTGACGATATGATACAACATTAGAAATTCCGATGTAATTATATAAAGAATGTGGCAAAATAAGATACAACGTGGCACGGTAAACTGTAATACAACACAATGTCTGAAGTAAAACGGTACCATGTGTAACCCAGTGTTTTACATCAACACTGTACATTTAATGCAACTTGAAACAGAAAAGAGTTTAATGTTGTGAACCTGATGACCGTGTATTTCTGCCCCACAGGGCGGGCTGTCGGTGGACTGCCTCTCTGACCTCGTAGAGAGTCAGTCTCGCTTGCTGGAGGCGCTGCAGCTGTCCCACCCGGCCGAACTGGAGTTGAAGAAATCGCCGTCCGAAGGGAGGACCCAGTCCAAGCTGAGCCTCAACCCCATCTACAGGCAGGTGCCTCGGGTGGTGGAGAGGTGCTGCAGCCACATCGAGACCTATGGTGAGACTGGAGGGTCTTCCTGGGCGTCTCCCTTTGATAACAAAACGCCCAGCAGTAAATGCTCACAAACCTCGTCCCCCAGGGCTCCAGACTGTCGGCATCTTCCGAGTCGGGAGCTCCAAGAAGAGAGTTAGACAGGTGAGGACGTCTAAGAGAGTAAAGTTGATTACAGTATCTCAAATAAGTAAAATATTGCTTAACTTGTACAAACTGTAATATCACACAAAAGGCACAATAACAAAATATGCTAATATTTTTCTAATATAATTAGCATATATGCATGAGAACATTTATTAGCATATCTTAACCATGCTAATAAAAGGTGTTAGCATGGTTAGCATAGCTAATAGATTTTTTTTAATGCTTGTAAATACATAATAAATGTTACTAGCATTTATTAGCATAGTTTCATACAAAAAGAATTGATGAACAGGTCTTAGTCATAATTTAAGCATACAGAATTAATAAAATATTTATTATACTTTTTCTTTGTATATGAAATATGTAAATATAGCATAAATGCTTAAGAGCATTTATTAGGGTATATTAGCGGAACTATACCTATTAATGAACATTTACATGTAAACATATGAGATTATAGCACAGGGTTAAAACCCACTAAGTTACACTGTGGAATAAAAAATAAACAGCCTTAAAATCTACATATTTACATAAAATTTAATTGACGGTATTCTTTTTTTTTTTTTTTTAAATTATATAGATATTTAAAAAGTTTCAGTTTGTTTTTAAATGAGGCCAGATGTCAGAAAATGTGAGCCGTAGTTTCCGAGCTTCATGGCTTTTGACTGGAACGGCGTTGTGCACAACATTTGACATTGTCAAATATTTGTGGCATCGCAGCATCACATTCCTGTCCATCTTTTATTTATGTTTTATTTACAGGGAACATGGACTGAAATAAATTAGTGGCAACAGCAGTTAAGTCAGCAGTTGGTGATAAGATCTGCTCACTGCTCACTCAAAGCACAAAGAATTGACTTGCAAATCAAATCAAGTGGAAAAGCAAAGATACTCAGCAGAGGATAAATTATAATGTGGATGTCTAGGACAATTTTAACTTTTATCATAGCCAAGTAAGAAAAGCTAAAAGGAAAAGGCAAGCTAACACAACTAGATCCAAATGCAGCATAAATTATGCAGGAACTGTGCTCCATAGCTTTAACACGTGACCATCAGGTTGGCTAAGCTAGCTCTCTTCATTAATTCTGCTGAGGATTTGTTCCCTTGGCCTCAGGTTTTGTCTGGTTCAGTGGTCTTGGCAATAACGCCACCTGTTACCATGGAGATCTTGACTCAGTTAGGACAATGAATGGATAAATTTACGGATGGATGTTTACTTATAACTTTGAGACACTTTACATCAATCGTCACATATTTTCAAGTAGAACTTATTCATTTGTGATATTTTAGCTTTCTGTCTAATATCTGTGTAGTTCATCTTCACCTTCCAGCTACTTCCAGACCCTTTTTTAGTTTTTTTTTTCCAAATGATTCTGTGGTCTGCTAAAGCCTAAAATGAGGTCAAGGCCACCAAACTAAAGCCTGACCCATAAATATATTTTTATTTTAAGAGCTGTGACCCCAATTTGACTGCTTCTTGACCATAAAACACCAAAGCGCCGCTGCCTGCAGCAACGTGTCGTCCCCTGGTTCACTCTGCGCCGCTTCCTGCTACTCTCTGCTGGATGCTACAAAAATAAACCTAATCTTCAAACTGATGAAGTGATATATCCTGTTATTTAGAAATCACATCCACTGGGGTGAGGGGGGGAGGGCAGAGTGGCCCCTGAGTAACCCCAACATGTCACAAGTCTGTTGTTCACGTTAATGAGCTCGTGTTCCTCTGTGATGTTAGCGATCTGGTTTGCTCCCGTAGCTGCGTGAAGACTTCGACATGGGGGTGGACGTCCAGCTGGACGAGGAGCACAGCGTGCACGACGTGGCGGCGCTGCTCAAGGAGTTCCTGCGCGACATGCCGGACCCTCTGCTGCCCCAGGAGCTCTACCCCGCCTTCCTGCACGCTAACCGTATGTGAACGCAAGACGCCTGCTGTCGTCCTGAACAAATACTGTAGCTCACAGGCGCAGTCAGTGAAGGGACACTTTCAGGTGTTTTGTTGTGAAGATGATTTAAAAAAAATAAATAAAAAAGTTGCTATTAAAGCTGCAGATGTAACTTTTAGTTTTTTTTTAAATATGTTTTTTGACATAATTGTTAAAACTGTCACTACATGTCGGTGATGGTAGCTCCCTGTGGTCATATATCCATCTGATGAAATGCACTGTTTACTCAGGAACCACCAATCAGAGTCAGGGGGAGGGTCTTGGCGCTGTCAATCATGCCTGTGCCATTCAGTGTCCTAATGGTTACAGGAAAACCATTTATCCACTGTCATCGGTGGCTATGCTAACTAGCATTTACAGACGCTTCTGGTGAGGTGAACTACCTGTAGCCTAGCAGAGAGTAAGGGGTAGGATGTGAGCAGCACCAACACAAGCTTGATTGACAGCGCTAAGACCTTCCTCCTGGCTCTGATTGGTTGTTCAGACCGAGCTGCGTATTTCTGCAAACAGCAGCAGAACCAGAAGGTATGTTTTTTTTATAAAAATTACTGCAGCTGTAACAGTCAGAAGCTACTTCGTGTCAGTCTGTCGTGTAAAATCCCAGTAAAATGGATGGACAGATGTTTGTGGTTACAGTATCATAAAATGTAAAAAAAAGAGTTAAAGGTTATTTATGCTTCTGCAAGTTGCTGCGCTGGGCTTTTGAAGAGCAGAGGTTGCAGCATCATTGTGGCTCAGCAGGTAACCCTGGTTTATGCTTCACGCAGTGCTGAGAGGAGCAGACCAGCTGCAGTTCCTCCAGCACCTCCTGTATCTGCTCCCTCCCTGCAACTGCGACACGCTGCTGCGCCTCCTGTCCATGCTGCAGACCGTGCAGAGCTACGCCCAGGACACCGTAGGGACCAATGACGAGGAGGTAGGCAAGACAAATTAGCGAGCCTCGGTGGCTCATCATGTCCTCTTGTGTCGAAAATCGAAATAAAAGTCCAGCATCACGTCTTTCTTTGCGTCAAGTGGTAAAAATGTTTACTTGTCTTATCTGCTGAAATCCCATCGCTACTTTTTTTTCACGTATTAACATTAAAAATCATGGCAGGCCTTTCCCCCCCTTCTACTTCCTGTCATTTTCTTTGACTTTTCTGCCAGTAGTAACATCGGGTTGTTGATCACATGGCTCATGTGAAAAAGTGTTTCCATTGCAGTTTTGCGAAATTCACTAATTTCGATAAAGCTGATAAACAACCTCTTTGAAAATTTGAGTGTTTTAAAAAAAAAATTTTAAGTTGATGTGTTTCCTTTAAGCACATGTATTTTCATAATTCCAATTTGTGCCATATATGGTCATTGGAAACGCAATCACTGTTTCCTTCCCCATCTTTACCGCCGTCGCTCCCCCTGCAGATTCCCGGTAACAAGATGACGGCGGCCAACCTGGCCGTGATCTTCGGGCCGAACCTACTCCAGAGGGAGGGAGGCGGAGACATGAGTCCTCAGGCGATGGGCATCGAGGACAGCACGGCCATCATCAGCATCACTCTGGTGCTCATACAGAACTACAGGAGGCTCTTCACGGTACCAGAAGAATCACACCTATCAGCAGCCTTTGTTGTGGTCATTATTTCAAAGAGACACTGGAGAGATTTCACCACCAATGCGTTGGGTTGACACTTCTCTTCCGTAGCTGGAGATTAAATTGGATTGGATGGTCTGTGTGTTCCTGTAGGTGTCTGCAGAGCTTCAGCAGGAAGTCTTGATGAGTCTGATCCAGACCGACCCGGATGTCATCGATTATCTCCTGCGGAGGAAACTCAGGTACGTCTCCTCCGATCTGCTGTCGGGTCAGCCACAAATAGTTTCTGACTCTTGCTAGTCATCTGACTCTTGCTAGTCATCGATCTGAGCTTGTCTTCTTGCTCGCAGTGGCAGCCACCTGACGGTAGAGGGCAGCAGCGAGTCCGGGGGTCGCCGGGACACAGGGGCCTCTTTGGACTCCGTGGGGGCCTCAAGCGGAAGTTTGTCTCCTCTTGAGCCGCCGTCGCCGCTTTTCCCTCCGGATGGGAGCGGCGGTGAGGGCAGCCTGACCAGCGAGGTCTTCCTCAACGTCCTCAAACTGAACCAGACCAGAAACCGGCCAGAAGGGAGATTCGGTATTGGTTCCATTTACCATCTGAATAATTTTAAGAAATTTTTACACACTTTATATTTATGTTGTCCATTTGTGCAAAATCTCAAGAAGAACGATTCTTGTTTGGGCTGCAAGAAATCCCAGTTTAGGTCACGGACGAGCCCCCAAATGTTTTGGAGTCCAGAAGTTAAAGGATAATATGAAGATTAGGAAAGTGGCAATTACAGAATTCATGTTTGGTGACAATAACACATAAAAAAGAAAACATAGCGCGAAAAAAGCTGCAGACCAGCCCAGCAGCTAAACTGTTATGTGTTCAATACTTGTTTTACCCGCTTGTTTGAGGGGGTTTCAGGCACATTCACAGCAAAAGACAACAGTTTCAGGCAATGACATGAAAAATGTTTTAGACATAAATATGTTGAAAAAAAGAAGCTGTTTCTACATTAAAGTTTACATAGATTATTTGGAGAATCTGATCAGATGATGCTTAATGCTGAGGCACAAGAGGTGACCATGCAACTACAACACAGCGTGCTGTGTTGTAGTTGCAATCATCCAGCCCTACTGCTGGATGATTGGTAGGTCTGCCTGACCTGACGCAGCACATCCAGCTGCAGCACAAGCCCAGAAAACATGTCAGGCTTGTAATCTTCTGAGATAGCCGCTGTTCGCGTGGTGTTCCTTTTAGTTTCCTCAATTTTTTGGGTCAAAGTGACTCTAATAACTGTGAAAAAGGAAAAAAAAGGTTTCAAGATGTCCTGTCTTGTTAAATAAAATCATATTGGAGGGATAAAATGTGGTTTTAAAAGTGTGTTTAAAACTACAAGGTTGTCATTTTAAATCCAGCAGAAAATGAAGTAATTTCAAGATAATCTAGTGTTATATTTCTACCATTTAAGTGATTTCTGCTAAACTCCAGAGTACATTGTAGAACAAGCTGTTTGTTAATGATGATGCATTTAACAAACAGGCCAAAATCACCAGTTGGAGCTAGTCAAAGAAAAACTGGATGATTTTGATCAACAGCTGGCTGATCACTTAATAGTTGTCATCCTGGAAATCCTTACATAGACGTTTATCTGTATGCTTTCACATTTCTGTTTATTGGTAGATTTTTAGAAAAGAAACGGTTCACAAGAGATTTACTGACTATTGACAAACCAATTATATAGATGTTTAAATTACATTTTTTATATAAATATTTTGCTTTGGACTTGGACAAAAAAGCCAGTAGTGTCTCTAAACTGGTGGATGATTTCAGGATTTAATCCTGTGGTTGTTCACTGTGATGAGATAAATGAGGCAACAGCGCCATCTGGCAGTCAGTCAGAGAGGTGGTTATGCAGCAGCCTGTCAGCGGTTGTTTTTCTATCATAGAAAATTAGGCCTGTCACGAGAACAAATTGTGCTGGAAGATTAATTGTCTAAAAAATTATTGCGATAAATGATAATATTGTTTCAAGACCTTTTGACACTGAATTTAATGGAAATGACTAATAATGCATGTTTTTTTCCTCCCATAGATAGATACACTTTATTTTCAAAAGAACACATAACACTGGAACTGATAAACTAAATAAACAAAACAACCAAAAACAAAAATAAAATGGATTCTCGGTCTCCATTAACAAAAAACGTAGTTGAATAAAAAATAAACAACATAAAGCCAAAGCGGAAATAAATACTGCATTCAACCAAAAGAGTGCAGATTATGAAGTCTGTATACTATATTGCCCTTCAGTAATCACTAGATTTAAATAGAGAAGATGAGCACATCCGACTATCTAATGCAATAGTTCATACTACACGATTTTCTGCCGCTATTTTCTCCTTATCACAATCTTAGATCGTTGGCTGATCTAAGATTCTCGCTGGTGATTTCGTAACCGATCATCCTGTAGTGTGTGGTGTGTTGCAGTAGATCGTCGTGGCCGCTCCGATCTAAATCGGGGTTTTTCCCCAGACTGGGAGCTTAAAGCAGAATGTGACAGGTAGCCAATCAGAAAGCGCGGATTCTCCTCCTGCTTTCTGAGGGGAAATTACGGAGGGGAATCCCAAACAGCTGACACGGCGCAACCCAAAGTCCAGCGGACATCGGAGATGATATGTGGAAACAACATTAATATTTATTCAACATTTCGTGCAAAGAATATAGAAATGACCAGGAGAGGAGTTGGAGCCAAATTACTACCGCAGTTGATAAACCCGGTAACTTTTCAGCTGTTCTTCGTTAACGTGACATAAATAGGTTATAATGATTTTCATTCAGTCAGGACTTTACACTGACTCTAGCCACATGTATCACAGGTAGATTCTAATAAAGCATTGATTAATGCCTGATTTTAAAATTAGATAACTGGACTTGTAGCCATTATTTTGTGCCCAGGTGGCTGGAAACCACACGGCATGACGAACCCGATCGAACCGTTATACCTAGGATTTCTGTCGGCTAATATGTGTCTCATGTTTTGAAAATGGGCCGACAACTCGTGTTGTGTGAGCTGGACATTACACTAAGGAAATGAGGAAGGGATGATCAGTGGAGAGCACCGGAGTTGAGCCTTTTTTCATTCAGTGTCATCAAGAGAAACAGAAAAAGGCAGGAAGAACGACCTTTTAAATTAGGTTGATAGGTTTAATTTATCGTGCGATTTATTGATTTATCGTTTATCGCGACAGGCCTATATGTATGTAGCGTCTTGTTTCTCTTTAAATGTTTTCACATTTTGTCGTTACAGCCACAAACTCGAGCGTTTTATTGAGATTTTATGTTGGATAAAAACTCCTCTTTCAGCAGAGACTAAGCCATTTATTGTTATTTGCTTTACGGAAAAGAAGCAAGATAGAAGCTTTTTTTTTTTTTTTTTTTTTTTTAAAGAGAACAAATCAATTTCCTTTTGCCACAAGCCTTGAAACAGACTTGGTGCTGGTCCACATATGTAGCTGGACATCTGGGAAAACGAATCAGTTTTTAGTCGTTTTGCATTTTCATCCACATAAAAACTGGGTTTAACACAACTAAAATAATTACTTATAAAAACTACGAACAACGTGGAGAAAACTCTCTTACTGTTTGTCTGTGTAGGTGGGAAAACGGATATTTAGGGGTGCCACGCATTACAGTCTGCGACGTTCAAAACATCCGCACAAACGAAACTGCAGCCGCCATGTTTGCTGACACAGGTTTTAGCGCTGCGCTGCACTGCCCCCTATGGGTTTGGCATGTTTAAAACATCGATCAGTGGCGGATTTGTGCAGGTTAGCGGTAATAATTTGAGGCTGATGTGTTAAAAGATTTAGGCATTTCTATTAAGTATCATCAGTGAAACTTATACCAAAGTATGACTTCACAAAAACGCTCGACGTTATTCAATTTAATTTTTTGTTATTTTTGTGTTGGAGTTCTTGTAAATTTTCTAATTTATTCTCCCAATATTACAACTGTATCCTGGTAATATGACTTTATCCTCATAAAAAAAAAAAAAAAATGAACCTGGTTTTAATATTATGTCATAGAGTTGATGACCTGAATTCAAAGTCCACATAAATGGAAGCTGTAAAATACGCATGTCAAACAAGATGGCGGCGTTCGGCGTGCTGACATCTGCCTGGACTCCTCCACATTTTCCAAAAATTTAATTACCAAAAATTAAATTAATCAATAAGATTGATTTATCTCCCAGCACTGCTCTAGCTTTATAATTCTCAATAACACAACCCGAATGTTTTTGTACATTGACAAAAAGTGAAAAGGTTAGAGCGTGTGCGGGACCCTTTAAAAGAAACCAGGGTGGTACCAACAGCATCATCACCATAACTGACAGCGTTCTTGCATTTGGCTGTGCAGGTGAGGCGCGCTCCGCCAAGTCCATCCGCCACATGCGACAGTTCCACTCCCACCACAACCTGCTCAGCCTGTCCCAGCCGTCCACCTTGTCCAAGATGCACAGTCAGGATGGAGACCCCCAGGACCGGCGGGGTGGCCCGCGGGGCGCCGCCATGAGCTTCACTCTGGGCAGCGTCGGCGTCAGTGGAGGAAGCTGCTCCAGTCTGAGCGGCTCCACCGAGAACAGCATCTGGGTGAGGCAGATGCAGCAGGACGAGGGCAAATCGTCATCGGCCGCCAACTTCTGGGACTTTTTTACTGGAAAAAGCTCGAGCTCCGAGACGGTGGTATGACTAAGGGGAGGGAGGGGACGGGGAGGAGCTTAGAGGGACAACTGGACGAGCTTTGACGTCGATGCTGTCTGAATCC